CAGTTTGCAACTGTTCCGGATCTCGCCGGATCACTACTATTTCGTTACATTTATTCATGCTCCGTATGGAAATACAGAAATTTAAACATGTCAAATTTAAAGGTTTTGCCGCAAATTAATAAAATTAAAAAACTCATGATGAAACATTTGTTAATAATGTACATACCTTCAGGAACATTATACATTTTTTCCGATCTCTTCACAACACTTTTACACGTTAAAATTTCGTTTCTTGCCGCGATGCATAAAAGTGAATAAACGCCAGAGTGACAGGTGTTCGTTAAAAGGGCGAACTTTGAAAGAAAACCTACAGTCTAAAAGGCGATCTTATGCTCTGTCCCTTTGGATTTTACTACACTAACACCATCTATTCGAGATTTTGTTAAGATTTACCCTGAAAGGTAAATTTTGATTTTTGGGTTTTGGCCAGCTTTTTGGGATTTCTAACCACTGTGCGGCGGGCAAATATATCATAACCGTCGCAACAAACAGTATACGTGGACACTTCCTACATTCAAATGACATTTGATTTGATCATCAATATTAACTATTAGTATTATTAAATGCGATTTGGGATAAAATTTTAAATACAAACAGTTTAAGATATAAACAAGCTAACCTGGTAGATTTAAAGTTGGAACAGCACCTACTGGTAGACTACTCCGGTTGTCAACAACATCCCCTTTTTCTGCAAAATGAATAGCGCTTAACTACATAAAGCTTTTAAAATATGTTTACTTCACTCATCAATTAATTATTTAAAAGAAGCTGCTACTGGCTTCCTGACTTTATGGTATTTCAAACTAATATTAAGAAGTAAAACAACAACACAAAACATCTGGTTTTACAACGAGTGCCAGAAACACAAAGTGATCTCGAAGTACATCAAATTGAAGACACAGATACATTCAGAATTAGCCTATAGACTTAGTACAATTGAATTTGACATCATTGATTATAATATCAGATATAAAATTAATAACTTAATACATAAAAAATATAAAAGGCAGAGAAACAAAATTAATTTATTAATAGCAACCAAACCTTCAATAGTAAATAACAATTTTTCAAATCATATATTTTACGATAAATTTATAAATCTTACTGAAGTACAGTTTAACAATAAGGAAGTCGCATTAATAGAAAAAGGTTTCAAACATAACATTAAAACTCAAACTACCAAAAAACACTTAGAACACTTAGGAGTAGAAATAGACTATGAACAAAATGGAAAACAATAAAAAGCTTAAATACGCGGCATCAGAAATAATTAAAAACCAATTACCTATACAATGCGCAAAGACCACAGATAATAATACAGTCAAATCAATCAAATTAAAAAGCAAAAATATTATTTTTACAAAAGCCGACAAAGGACAAACAGTTATTGCAATTAAGAAAACAGACTACTTGGAAAAAACACATAACATCCTTACACCAGACAAATATTCAATTCTAACAAAAGACCCCACTAAGAAATTTAACGAAGATGTCAGACATATTATAAAAAATGCAAAAAGTATTTTTAAAGATTCAGATATATATAAATTAACTATTATGAACCCGAGTCCACCATTAATGTATTCATTAATTAAACTCCACAAAGACAATTTACCTATTAGACCAGTAGTATCTTACTTCACTGCACCTTCAACAAAAATATATAAAAAACTCATTACTTTAATAACCACACACTGCAACTTTAAACCAAAATTCAGTATAAAACACTCGTATGAATTAATTAATAATATTAAAAATATCTCATTACTAGATAATGCCAAATTCATTTAATTTGATATTACAAATTTATTTTCTAGTGTACCCCCACAAGAAACAGTCAACTTAATACAAATTTCTTAGATCAAAATAAAATTAATCCCGTCATAAAAAATGATATTTTAGATACACGAAATATTTGTTTAAAACAAAATTATTTTCGATTCAATAATCCTTTATTAGCAGACATTTTCGTTAATCATTTAGAACTTATCATCCATAAATATCCACATAATATGTGGCACATGTACAACATTTCTTATATTGGTACCGATATGTAGATGACATACTTACTTGTTTTACAGGTACTAATAGACAGTTAAATATTTTCTAAAATTTTATAAATAATATCCATCCCAACATTAAATTCACAATGGAAGTAGAACAAAATAAACAAATTAACTTCTTAGACCTTACCATCCAAAATATCAAAGGCACCCATTCATTTAAAATTTTCCATAATATTATTACTGATTTTAATAGAGTGGTAGCTTTAATCGAAAGGAGAAAGGGTGTACAGTGTAAACTGTACACTCGGTTTTTCGTGGCCATTTTCCAACTTTATTGTATAGTGTAAGGAATACTTTTTTCCAATCGTATTAAAGAATTTGTACATTTCCTATATGTTTATAATTAAAAAAGTGGCTTAGTCTCAAACTGTGAGGAAATTGAACTCTTTCTCCACAGTTACTTTTCAATGAGACGACCGGTTATTGATTATGTTGTAATAATTTTAAAAACAGGATTTATTTACATTGTTTTATCATTTTTTACATAAGATATTTTTTCTACAGGGTTGCGGAAAGTTGCACTTTTCCGCACGCTTACTTTCCGCACGCTCGACAGTGCAGAAAGTAGCAACTTTCCGCATGCTTGTAGAAAGCATTTTATCTGCTCACACTAATTGACACGGACATTTGTAATTTAATAAAATTAGAAAAAGTATAGCGTTTAATTCTTGAAAAATTACAATTTCCAATCTGATAAATTACTATGGAAATGGCCAACTTTTTCAATCGTTAAACAATATACTATTATAAAACAAGGTTATCATAAAAAGTCACTTCACATGTCACATTGAAATTAATTTATTAAGAAATAAATACAAATTAACCTTTGAGTACTCGCACGGCGCCTGAGTGGCACCACAAACTTTTTTAAATAAGGTATTTTTTTAATTTTTTATTTAATTGTTTGGTACTTTTATGTATTTCTTAACGCTGTGACTAGAGGCACGTTAACGTGCCGCGATTTTAAATGTTAAAGGCACGTTGGTTACGTCATAATTATTTGATGTTATAATTTTAAGATTTTATGTTACGATAAAACTAAAACAAACCAACCAACCCAACACAACACTATTTAACAAAGAAACAACAAACTTATGAAATAAAAGTTCGACAACTTCTGAGTATCGAACCCGGTACCTCTCGCATGCCAAGAGATTGCCCTACCAACTAAGGTATCTAGCTTGACATCAAATATTTAACGCTCGGGGAACAAAAACGGATTATAATTATGACGTAACTAACGTGCCTTTAACATTTTGAATCGCGGCACGTTAGCGTGCCTATAGTCACTGTGATTTCTTAAACATATCTTAAAATAAAGATTCTGTCAAAAAATAGTAAATTAACCTTAAATACAAAAATGACACAATTAACAATAATTAAGTAACCTCAAATTTACAATTTGCATTATATCATTCTGTCAATTTTGTAATTAAGGTAATACAAAATGTCCCCCTATTTTTTGACAGAATGTGGTCACTTTACTTAAAAGCAATAATTGACATATCATTTAACAAACATTTACTAATGGTCGGTGTAAATAAATAAAATAGCGCGAAAAAAATTTGCGACCTGGCTGGACCACACAAAAAACCTATGCAATGAATGTTAAAACAAGTTTTTAGTTTGACTTTTCTTGTATTTAATCAAACACGAAAAAATTATATACACTGATCAAAACGAAAAAAGAGTCACTCATAAAAATATTCGTGGTTTTATAATTTTTTAATATAATTATATCTAATGATTTTCGCTATAACTATATATTATAAGGTTTTTTTTATTTAACTGTCAATTTTTTGTGAAAAGAAATAAAAACTGATAAATTTGATTTATTATTTTATTAACAGCGATGATCAAAATGGTTTAAAAATAAAACTAAATGCGTGTATGGGCTCATACATGTTTTTCATAATTGAATTGGCCGGTATATAAATTGATAAAGCAAGGTAAAACATTCGCTGTTCAGACTATAATATATTATGTAGTTTAGACCAAAGATGACCCGTGCCTGATTTTCTTTCTGTGTCAGTATTTAGTATTTGGTTTTTAGCACTGACCGTGTTTTTAATTTCCGAGGCCTTTATTCTTCGGCAGGTTGTGCTCTACAAGCCTGGGAAATGAGTCTGAGCATTACGGGAAGTTTCAAACGGATCTTCTCTTAAAAAATTTAAAAGACCCTCGTCTTCTTCCGGTGTCGATATGTTATGCCCTTGAAAACCAACTTTTTACACAGTACTCTCCTGCTTCGACCGTACGGCACTTTTTATTATTATTTTCGTGAATATTTTCGAAAAGGCTTGATATGGAAAGGAACTACCAATTACTTATAATAATAATATAAATAATAATAAATTGTTTATTTATTGTCAATATTAACAGATTTACAAGAATACATAAAATAACTTATTTACTAGTATAATCGACAATAAAAAGGACTAAAAGGCAGTAAAACTGATATTAATTTAGCCCTATGTTATAAGCTATGATGGCTCTAAATGTTCGTTTGATGTAAATCTCGAATTGTTTTTAAAATTGGAATACGGCCATTCCAAGCCCATGGACAGGACACATCAGAAACATGTCTAAATATATTCTTGTTACTTCCTTAAGTTTACTTATTTTTTCTACGAGTATTTATGAGAAGTATTAGCCAAATTTGGCTAATACTTCTCATAAATACTCGTAGAAAAAATAAGTAAACTTAAGGAAGTAACAAGAATATATTTAGACATGTTTCTGATGTGTCCTGTCCATGGGCTTGGAATGGCCGAATAGTAACTGGATAAAAAGGACGTTGAAATGCTTTTGGTTGCCATTTAATGAAATTTCACAGGATATAAATAAGAATTACTGATATTTTTTAGGACATTACAAATAATAAAGACTAGGTACTTATTTTTTAAATATATTTCTGTATAATTTAATTTTCAGATTTCGCTTTCGTCCGGCTTTCACAGCTCCTCCACCCTTACCAGTCTCGACTGTGTCGCCTGAAGTACAATCTCCGGAGGCCGATACTTCAGTGCCGTCACCGCCCCCCATTGTTATTTACTTTCGCAGAAGTTGCCTTGGTGGTCCTTTTATTGACGTCAAATCTCTGCCCGTCTCCATAGAGGATGTCATCGTAAGCGACTTGCTGAAAAAATTGGTCAAACAGCTGCTGGCGGTCACGCACAAGGCAGAGTTGATTTTGTCGAGACTCGGGACGGGCAGCGGCGAGGAAATGGCCGTTACTCATGCTGGAAGTACTTATAATGTTAAATTACCAACAGCTCTTAAAAGTACGGATCTGGATAATGTGTTTAGGGCCTTGGCGACATCATTAGCATGTTGTCAAAACTTATTTGGTAAGTGCTTAAAAATATATATATAAATGTTCATATAATAACATATTAGACAAAATTAACAATCCAATTTACCACTTTGCTTTACAACAGTTGTTACTCTACCAATAAGGGACGAAAAAACTATCTACTACTGATATTTATCAGTATGTTGGAATATCAAGTAAAGTATTAGCGTTACTGATAGTTTTTGATTGTTTTAAGTTCCAAATTAAAGTCTGAAATAGATATGTATGGCCTAAATAAAGTTTGCTGGGTAGGTCAGGTCGACCTTTTAGAGTAAATTTAGATGCATGGTATTGTTAGCTACATTTTCAGACATAAAAGTCTAGTTTCAAACTCAGGGGTGTTTCTTGAAATTTGCGACTTCATTTTCTATAAAATGTAGTTTCTATCGAAAATGGTTGACCAATCAAAGCATTGTCCAATCACTACTTTCTATACACAAAAAGGGATTTAAAGGGAGATGATGTTGGAAGGTAGGAAAAGAGTAAATTTATCTCCAAAGAACCAAATGTTATTTAAGAAAACCAGAGATCTGAAATTAAAATTCAAGTTTGCCTGTTTTAACTATGCTTAGAGAGCACGGTTAATTTTATAGACGATTTTAGAAAAAATATATATAATCATCGAAACTATTGTTTTCGGGTTTATCCGACTTCCAAGTAACAGGAAACATGAGAAATAAAATCCTTCATGTATGGCATTCTATATAGTGGCCCAAAAATATGTCAAAATTTTTAAATTTTTTGTAAAAACTAAAAATTTTAAATTAAAAAAAACTTTCTTTAAGGATAATAAAGCGTTTAATTTTAAGTAAAAAACGTCTTATAATGTTTTCTGTAGACGCTATAGTTTTGTTATAAAAAATTTCTGATTTTTTTACTTCACAAAATAATACATATTAATCATATTCAATTAACTTAATAGGTTTTAATGTCTAAATAAATACATGTAATTATATGTGCTGGCTATTATAATAACAAATACTCCTTAAAAGTTTTTCTTTAAAAAATTGCAAATTCCTTGAATTTAAATTTTTTGAAAACGTTAAAATAGTGATGCACTTGTTCTGACGCTTGTTCAGAAAAAAGGCAAGTGTTCGTTGATATTTTTCAATGAACTCTGGAACATGATGAACTATAGGGCATGCATTTTTGTTGTGTACCATACTCCGACTTTAGATAGTTCTACTGCGAAACGTTGAATATTTTCGGCATAACTTATACTTTGAGATTTCCCAAAGCAACTGGAAACTACTTCGTCAAAATACTTAAACAAATTGAGGGATTTGTTTCCTAAAACCATATGTATACCTAAACTTTAATACATTAAAGACGAATATATATATCGCACATGGGCGACAACAGTGTCATAAGTTTTTTATTATTTTATTGTTGAATACGAATATGACAAACGTATGACTGGCCCCATCGCCAACGCCTTATACTGATTTCCCAGGGTTATTTTACCCTTTTAGTTCTCCCAAGTATCCCGCCACTGCACAGCATTGCCTGTGTTTGGTGGAGCCGAATTTTTACCCCGGCTGGTAAATCTCGCCTAGAAGGCCGTAAATGACAGTGTCGATGGTTAAGGCCTCTTAAAGAATTTTTTCGCCTAGTCCGCTAGTGGAGTGCGGATAAGGAGGGAAAATATGTTGGTTTTTGAGGGACATTGAACTGACCCAAAACCAAGTACAATCCAGGTAATACTGAGACCATCCATCCTGGATTAAAGCAATGGCTCTGGAAACATCAGTCGGAGACATATCCATTTTTAAAAGTAAAAAAGCACCTCAAAAGTAACACATTAATTTACAAAAAAATGTCCAAGTATGGGATGATTCAACAAAACAATCACTGTCATCCTTCATAGGCTATGGGTGGACCATAGCAACCTTAGTTCTTCGAACAAAAAAATATTGGAAAATGCAATGTTGTTTTGCCACTTTACAGAGTGTCTTAAACTTATGGTAAAAAACATCTTTTTGTTTAAACCTGTATATTATAAACGTTCGTCTATTTTTAGTAATTTTTTAAAATGTAAGCGATTCTCCATTAATTTATCCACAATATTGTTAAATATTCGTTTAAATCCGAAATCAAATAAAAAAGTTATTTGCGATTGAAATTCATCGAAAATTTGTGTGGATCGATTATTTTGCCTGTGAGTGTAAGTAAGATTTTTTTTAGAACAAAACTATAGGATCTACAAAAAACTTTTTGAGACGCTTTTAACTTAAAATTAAACGCTCTATTATGCCGGTTTTCCACTAAACGAACAGTTGAGTTTGGGTTTTGTTTGTGTTTTTAAAAACTTGCAAATCAAAAACAAAACTGAAACAAACCCGAAACTCTTGTTTCCATCAAGCAAACTAAGTTTTGTTCGAGTTTTGTTTTTGTTTTCGGTCCTTTTCCACTAGTTGTGATTATGTCAGAACACACTTTTTCAGTATCAACCAACATGTTTAGAGAAAAAGATTTTCTTATTCTTAGTTGTGGCTGGTTTATACTTCTTCGTGAACAACTTTTGAAGAATTTAATTAATTAAAACATCAAATTATGACTAAAAATCAAAAATAGCGATGATAGACCTCTAAAATAAAATTAAATAAAATTAATATTAATATTTAGGGCTCAAATTTTCACCAAATTTTTTTTGTCATTCTGAATGACATTCTCGATATATTTTTCTAAAAAAAAATAGTCAATTTTTTTGGCCCAGTCTATATATATATATATATATACAGGGTGTCCCACAATTAGTGCGACAAAATGAAGGTGTATTATCTAAAGACCCCCAGAAATTCTAGAAAATTGTTTAAAAAATTCTTTCTTTATTATTTAATAAGATACAGGGGAGTCATATTTTCTTTATATGGCAACATTGCCTCATAACAAAGTAATAGTTTAATTCTTAATCATCATGACAACAAACAACAATGTTAGAAAATGCCAAATTTAAATGTCAAAATTTGTTACTTTAAGTTATAGGTTATTTATTTTACGTCAGACAGGGACTCCCTGTATTTTTTTCTATCCAGTCTGACGTAAAATAAATAACCTATAACTTAAAGTAACAAATTTTGACATTTAAATTTGGCATTTTCTAACATTGTTGTTTGTTGTTATGATGATTAAGAATTAAACTATTACTTTGTTATGAGGCAATGTTGCCTTATAAAGAAAATATGACTCCCCTGTATCTTATTAAATAATGAAGAAAGAATTTTTTAAACAATTTTCTGGAATTCCTGGGGGTCTTTAGATAATACACCTTCATTTTGTCGCACTAATTGTGGGACACCCTGTATATATATATATATATATATATATATATATATATATATATATATATATACACACAGTCCGTTCAGACTAAAACCGAATATATCTATACAGACTGTATAGAATCAAGTAAGTAAGGCTGGAGACAAGGATGACAAATTATATTCTGATCAGAGAAAAAGAAAAAACTTTAATTGGGCATGGTTTAAACCAAGCCATTCGTAATTACGAACCATAGTTGCCAGGTTGTTTTAAATCAGAAGAGAACGATTATAATTATTTAATAAATAGTTCAATTTTAATTGTTTAAAACTTTAAAAATAACAAAAAAATTAATAATATGTCAAAAATAATTTGATTTAGTTAATTTTCTTACTTTTAATATTAAAAATAAGAAAAACAACCCTTTTAGGAAACAATAATAGCATATGGCAACAGCGCGGCATGCAGTTTGATCTACTGTGTTTGTTCAGTAGTTAATTAACTGGAATTTAATGGATTTTAAACAATACTTAGTTTTTATTTGCAGAAATGCATTAAAACAAAACAAACGAATTCGATAAAAATAAAACCTATAAATTCTCAATCCCTACCACAGTGGGCGGGGTTTGGCACTTGTTTTATTTAAGTGTATCTATTCGTTTTAATATACACTGTATATATATGGGGCGTGGCCTCGCCTCCCTCCAACGCGCGACACAGTAGCTAAACAAATAACCTGCATCGCTAATGAGATTTTTTGCATTATTATCATTTAATTTTTTAAGTCCTTACCTGCTCGACCTTTCGTCATGTCGTTTATCGAAAGGGCTGTATATATATATATGTGTATCTATTAAACTTATCCATGACATTTTACTGCCGAGGCAGTAGGTTGTGTGCGAGGTAATTAACAGGCTTTCGCCGCCGTGTTTTATATACTATTTTTTTTCAAGCTCTAAATTTCGATATTTTTTTGAAATTTTGTAACCTCATTTTTAGGTTAGGTTAAATTATTATTGACCGCCGAACAATAATGGTGACATTTTGTCGTCTGACAGTTAAACCTAACCTAAAAATGAGGTTGCAAAATTTTTAAAAAACTACATTGTACTATTTCTATATAGACTTATGAGGAATATAATATGAATATTATTATACACTTGGAAAAAATATGTTTCTTACTTACCTACCAATTTAGTATGAAATTCGTATCTGTTCGTAACTAAATTGTAGTATTTCTGTATAGACTTATGAGGAATATAATATGAATATTATTATACACTTGGAAAAAATATGTTTCTACTACTACTTACCTCCCAATTTAGTATGAAATTCGTATCCAGACTAACAAAATAAAATAAAAGTCGAAAACAAAAAACACAACACGACCGTTTCCACTAAACAGACTCGAGTTTCAAAACACGTCGAAACCTTTTGATGTTACCGCTTTCGAGCGGGACTCAAAAAACAAAACTCAAACTGTCGCAAAACACGCCAGTCTTCAAAAAGTTTGCAAAAAGTTGCAGTTTTGTTTTATTCGACACGAGTTTGTGTTTTGTTTTTGTTTTGTCCGTTTGGTGGAAAACCGGCATTATCCTCGAGATTATCCTTAAAAAAAGCTTTTTTTAATTTAATATTTTTAGTGTTTAGAAAAAATTACAAACTTTTGACATATTTTTGTACCACTATCTAAAATGCCCTACATGAAGGATTTTAATTTCCATGTTTCCTGTT